TTCGCCATTTTCGACCAGCATTGTTTTTCTCCATCCCTCTATCTCCACATCTGCTGCCTAAATGCATTCATCGCGTTGGTAAAGCATTAACACAGGCATTATTTCTTTTATCTAAATCGCTCAACGACTAAATGACAGTGTGCACGACTGCGTACAACTGTTCCATTGCTTTGAAATGGCAATTGTTCGCACTCACGAATTCTTCTACACAGCGGAAAATCATTGTGTCCGATGGTCCTGTTGGTCTTCCAACAACCCTAGAACCCCACAACTCTGGCATTTGTTCGCCTTCAAGGAAAGGTAGACTTCGTTACTGACGGAACCACGAGCATTGAGCTCTGGCAAGTGTAAAGGACGCAATGATCAAGAAAGGGAGGTGATGCAATCAAAACTAACCGTCGCAACACACCACACAGAGCAGAGCTGCAAGCACCGCCAGCATGATCCACCTCTGAGACATAAGGTATGACTGCTACGAACTTATATACACAAGTCTGTTCTTCAAGTAGCCAACCCGGTTGATGCTTTCCCATACTTCATATGCCACGATTGCAACGGTTGCCTCCACCGGTCCAAGGTCAGACAATAAACTCAATTGTGCGTCGACTCCATTGGATTGTAAGCTTAACTTGGCGCACACTGTCGCCGAATCTAGAAGTCACACTACGTAAATCAAAGAGAAGGAGAGAATGGAAGGTAGGTGAACCGAATTCCCAGTGGTCAAGTGCTCCATTGTTCACACTAATCACTCGCAGCACTGTGTCCCTTTCGTCGACTCGCTTTTTCCCTTTATTGAAAGCCTCTGCACTACAATGCTAGAATGTCCAATGATGACTTCATCTAGCGTTTCAGCACGACTGATGGTTTCTCTGGCTTCGTCCATTTGCATCCACTAAATGCAATTCTGCGTACTTAGTTTGGAGGTGCAGAGGTGGAACTACCACTCACATGCTCCACCGTTCATCGTTCCAGAGCGACACATCAATCTGGCCAACACATCTATACAGTGAAATATGCGTTTAGTGCTGGTTCTGCTGGGTCGCATTTTGTTGCACATAACGCGTTCCCACTAATATTTACTCAGGTCCTTTGGACAGAGGGTAGAGTGGGCGAGTGGAAGAGAGGAAGGGAATTTGGGGCTGGCATAGGTGAAGAATGGGTGGAAGTGGCCATACGTCATGGTGCAGTAAGTGCCATCTGTTGAGGTAGTGTCGGTGGTGTGTGACGTCATGGGAGGTGATAAGAGCACACAGAGGACAGCCCACAAGGAGGGCGTGAGTAGAAGTCGGCGGTGGAGGTGGATGGGAAGGGAGTCAAAATTTGAGTAAGTAAGGGTGAGGAGGAAGTGAGGAATGAGGAAAGAAGTGGTTGCATCAGGTGGCAGAGAGGACAAAGTGTGTCCAAAGAGAGCTCCTCGGAGAGTACACAGCACGTGATGGTCCTTCAAAAATGGCATGTGATATGATCAATTCAAGTGGGGAAAACAGCATCCCCTTCACCTACCTTCCCGCCACCTCCTGCCCCATGTGTTGGCACAATATGCGACGGCAGAACAATTCATGCAGGAAAGCAATTGCTTTGCACATTTTCTCCAAAACACGTCCTTTGCCGTGGGAAGTGACTTTCAACATACGTCGTGCTCCGATCTTACTCCCACGTTGTCTCCATTACCACTCCACTTCCATTCCCTCCTCGCATCCTCCACCCTTCCTCGTCATGCTCTTCGGTCATTGCTCACCCCTCCTTCCGTTACCCTTACTCCTTACCCTTAGACACCACCCCCCTCCAAATTTTCATAAGCCAAACCATCTCCCGTTACTTCACTCCGCCATTTCCACTGCTACTTCCGACATTAAAGTAGCTGTGCATCTCACACTCCCACTTCGCTTCTGCTGAACCTGTCTTTGTCTACATTGCGGCACTTTAGCATCGTGAACTACAACTCATGCAAGGAAGGCGCACACATATGTGCCACATCGACCGCACCACTTGACCTAACCACCATACATTATGCCTATTGTTATCGCTTGTACCCCTCTTTCACACGCAAAAGTGACACATCCAGTCAGTTAATCCTTTCGCTACCGCTTCTCCTTTTCTGCAGAAGCAGCATCATTTACTTCATCCCACCTGCAGCTCACTTTAGAATGCTGATGCACGGGCGAAGATGATAGCATCGACTCACTTGCCATTTGGCACTTCCTCACTCACTTCGCATGGTTGTCATTGCGGATACCGATTTCAATATTTCTGCATTGTCTTGATCCCGGGAGCATGTCCCTCTCCCTTTCATTAGGGTCAGGCTCTGATCCACTCACATCGACAATAACAATGTCAGACAGGTTGCCACAACGTTGGTGGAAGGATCCGCACCAGAACAGGTGGGGCAGGTGGTCATGGCGAAGGGAACGGAAAAGGTGAGTAAGTTGGAAAGGGAAGAGTCGACAGAAGGGCATCTTATCAATCTCACCACTACCGAACAGGTGTTCAGTTCGATACCTCATTGATAGCTGTCAAATTACAATTGCAATCATTCTGAGCTTCCGGAAGTCTTCGTGAGGTAGTTTGACCTGCGTAGAAATTGGTGACCCTACTTGAGCATTTTGCAGCCTCTTTGAAGGCGTGAGTCGTTTCCTTTTTTGCCTTGCTTCCTACTATCACGCTACGAGTGGATGAACACGTTGCCCTAAACGGTGGTCGCAAATGAGGAATCCGTCGACTCACTCTGCCTTCCAATCCATAAAAGCCACATCCAAAATGAAGGTTAACACCTTATTTGGCTAACCAACTCGTTCTACTTGGGAAAAGCGCTAACTTGAGCACTGCCATGTGTAGACAGGTCACTTCTTTCGCCCTATTCCCTTACTCACCGCGTGAAATGATAGTTTCTGCACCTACGTTGCACTGGCTACTTGAGCTGTTTTGTAGAACTGCTGATGGGGATTTTATTGGCTCACTTGGAATTTTGTTAAAGCCACACATTCGAGAACGAATCTCAAGGAAGTATGAAACAAGTCCATCGTTCTTATGGTCAGCATAAGCCACTCTATTTGTCGAACCATCCTACGTGTGGCATCCTATGCGATTTTGCCTCTCGCCTCGTATCCTGTCAAGTGTAGCAGGAATGCTGTTCTCTGCAACTGTTTCCTGAACAGCATCGGTCTTGTCGCCAACCGCAATGAACCTGCTGGAGCAAGAATGCCGCGGTTGTATCAACATTTACTGACTTTATCACACAATAATTTCCAACTATTG